ATTTAGTGCCGTGCTACTACATGGGCGTATGGTCCGATCCGATACAGCGGACACAGGAGGGTGATGCATGTTTCCGGTACACTTTCAGCTGTCGCCGAGTGTGGGTGTTCTGGAGAGTTCACCAGTTCACCGGCGAGTTTCCGGGAGAAAACTTCACAAAGCAGCGACACGCAGCAGTTCCAGAGGAGTGATCTTACTAGTGGTTTCAGAGATTTCAGAGTAGATGGCACAAACCCCCAAATGTTATCACATGCTTATTTTTTTGGATGGGGGTCCGTATAAATCTTGGGGATTGTGCCATCTACTCTGAAATTACTGTAATGCATGTTTGGAAGCCGCACAAAAAAGTGGTGTGAGCATTCATGGCCAGGGCTACGTCCTACAAGACATCTTTGGACAACTTGGAGAAGACCAAGGCTGCTGAGGTGAAGTTGCAACAGGAACAGGAGGCGCCCGAGTGCATGGCGCCCTTCTTCGCACCCGCGTGCACTGCTCGTGCGCCCACGGTGAGTCAACAGGTCTGTATACCAGGTTTTGGGCGCAGGTAAATCCTCTCTTTAAACCACTAATAACCACTAGGCATCATCTTCTCTCCTTTTCCCTATGTTCAACTGTTCAACCTTGTGCATCGATTTCTTCAGTGCAGGGTCTTTCAGCCAAGCATTCCAGCCTCCGAGATCCTTCGGCACGCACGTTCTTAGCCGCGCGCACTGCTCGCAGCCCAGAGCTGCTCCATGTGGCGAGAGGCCCTGATCCAAGAAAAAGACTTCGGCCTGGACACCGACACGTTGCAACAGCAGGTCCAGTCCTGGACGAACAGTGGAGCGGCTTGTTTCCGTGATCACCCAGTTTCTGGGTGATTGACAGGGGCGAACAACAAACCAATAGGTGGGGCATGCCCTAGCTGCCACACCACTTTTTGTTGACAAAAGGGGGTCCAGCATCGTTGGCAATGCCGAATCCGTTGCACATCCCCTTTCTCCAAAGACACTTGGAACATGCGCTTTGCGTTGTGTGGGCCCTTGTGGGCCCATCGTTTGCTGGCCAAAAATCAGGCTGAAATGGTTTATATATAGAACTCTTTTCTGTACTTCATGGCCTCCCATGTGTTTCCACGACCCCATGCCTGCTCTGCCGCCTGCTCACGCTCCGCGGGGTCGGCTATCTCCAGGTCGAGTCCACCAAGGCGATGATTGAGAACTTGGATGGGTCACTTGGTGCAGTTGAGCGGCGGACATGGCGGTGCGTCGGGTCGGGCTCGGGCTCGGGGTGAACGGGTCGGGCTACCGTGGGAAGTTGACGAACGTGACCGTGGCGGTGCAAGGCTGTGCCTGTGAAGAGGTGTGTGTACTTCCTTTGTTGCTTCAACAGCGGGGGAAGTACAGGATTTTGCGGTCGCCCAGGAGTAGCCAGAGGATTCTGATGAGTGATAGGAGCACACCAGCTTATAGAAGCTTGGGTTTGGATCTTCTCTTTTGGCCCATCTAGGGACCGCGCACTTCCATTGGTCAGTTGCTGCCACCAGCGCCGCGACGCCGTGGCGCGCCACCAGGAAGATGACCTCCCAACGTCAGGACCCCTGCCGAGACGGGTCAGGGGAGGTCATGGGGCTTTGCTCTTCAGACTTGCTGCTCCTGGACGCAGAAGAAGAGGGGAGGAGGCAGTTCAACTTCTAAGGATTCTAGGGCCTATGACATGCAGGTAACTTAAACATGTAATCATTCCTTTTTCAATCACGAAAGCTAGCATCAGCTAGCTGGAGTTGCTCTTGCTTTAGCAAGTCAAAGGCTCGCAGCCTCGAGAATCATGAATCACGTGAAAACTTCACGTGTAGGGGGGCCCCCCCCCCGCGGGTTCAACTCCCCCCTGGGACGCTTCCGGTACGTGCTATAGTGCTATGTTTAGGTGGCAGGTGAAGTAGGCCACTGTTTGAGTTTGGAAGGGGGGCATGAAACATGAAATTTACGCGAGGGTTCAAGGCTTCAATGATGAGCATCACGGGAAGTCAGAAACCAGGCGTATCAGATACACGTGCCTTTGAGCTTCCTTCGGCATCTCAGTGCATATGGCTGACACTTCACCCGACAAAGATGCTCAAACAAACATACATAAACCAGGTGTATCTGATACGCCTGGTTTGTGACTTCCCGTGATGCTCATGATGCTGCGTTGCTTTTCTTCAGTCCCTCATTACATATACGTGACGATCCAGCAGCAGATTCAACAAGCTCACATGTTCATGACATCGGCATCGATAGAAGAAACCAAACAAATCATGCAAGCAGCTTTGTTTTGCCTCTGGGACACCTCTTGGGCACCTCTTATGGCATCCACACTGGTTCAACTCCTCCGTGGAGGTTTTGGGATACGGTGCAACAGATTCAACAAGCTCACAGGTTCGTGAACACATCGGATGCACCGAACAGTGTGGCAAAGTCCAGCCACGCTTCCTTAATTATCGTGGACTTCAATTCTAAGGTTGGCTGTGTCATTGCTGTTTGTGTGTCTTACATGTTCACAACGTTTTACCTCATGAGCATTTGCCTCACTCCGCTTGATGTCCCACCAGTCCGGATGCACCCCTGCTAGCTTTCGTCACCTACCCTCGGCCTCAAGTTTACGCGAGGGTTCAAGGCTTCAATGATGAGCATCACGGGAAGTCAGAAACCAGGCGTATCAGATACACGTGCCTTTGAGCTTCCTTCGGCATCTCAGTGCATATGGCTGACACTTCACTCGACAAAGATGCTCAAACAAACATACATAAACCAGGTGTATCTGATACGCCTGGTTTGTGACTTCCCGTGATGCTCATGATGCTGCGTTGCTTTTCTTCAGTCCCTCATTACATATACATGACGATGCAACAGCAGATTCAACAAGCTCACATGTTCATGACATCGACATCGATAGAAGAAACCAAACAAATCATGCAAGCAGCTTTGTTTTGCCTCTGGGACACCTTTTGGGCACCTCTTATGGCATCCACACTGGTTCAACTCCTCCGTGGAGGTTTTGGGATACGGTGCAGCAGATTCAACAAGCTCACAGGTTCGTGAACACATCGGATGCATCGAACAGTGTGGCAAAGTCCAGCCACGCTTCCTTAATTATCGGGCCTTCAATTCTAAGGTTGGCTGTGTCATTGCTGTTTGTGTGTCTTACATGTTCACAACGTTTTACCTCATGAGCATTTGCCTCACTCCGCTTGATGTCCCACCAGTCCGGATGCACCCGTGCTAGCTTTCGTCACCTACCCTCGGCCTCAAGTTTGCTTCTGGCAGGGGTGCAGACGAAAAAACAAAAGAACTCAAACTCAGTCCGAAAGCACAGTGCCACAGCACCTGCCCCGCCAGGAGGCCCTTGACATTGTGAAGAAGGCTCTCGCTGATGCTCACTCACAGCAGCAAGAAGCGAGTGCCGAGGCATCCTTGGTGGGTGACAGCTACGCATTTCACTGATATTGCAGGTTCAAGTGGTCTATAGTGGTCTTATTCCTGAATGTACAGTAATGTATTTTCTCCTGATTGTATTCTTTGTCTTTGGCTGTGTCTCTTGAGTCCTAAAGAAATCCCGCCGCACATTGTCTAAGTCCGTCTTCATGTCTCATTTGGCTTTGACCTCCCACCCTCCACTGTTTCATGGACACCAGTCACTGCTTCACCCGTCAGCCCTGAACGCAGGAGCAGACGGAAGAAGAGACTGAAAAGGTGGCGAGGAAGAGGATCCAGGCAGCGAAAAAAAGGAGAGTTCTTTTGATGGATCACAAGGAGGTTCAGATTATATGATGAGAGGTTATGAGAGGTATCAAGCATTTTTCGTGGGAGTGCTACTGTGCTATAGGCCTTGCAGTAGGCTATAGGCCTTGCAGTAGGCCGTGCATATCCTTTTGCAGCTGCCTGGCAAAGATTTTGTTCGGAGGGAGAACTGAGGTTGTAATCAGGGCCTAGGGGAATGTGTGTTGAAAGGCCAAACTGCGGGTCAAGCCACGAGCTGCTCCCAGGCGTTGTGCCGAAGTCGAAGAATGTGGTATGGCAAGTGCACTCTCAAAAACCTCAAGAGACAGCCAAAGGATTTCTCAAGAGTCTTAAGAGGGTACTCATGTCTCTTGAGTCCTTTTTGGCTGTCTCTTTATTTGGGGCTCTTGAACCATCCGGATCGGAGGGCCTTGCCCCGAAGACTCGGATGAAGACTTCATTCCTCAGGCTGCGAAAGCCAAAGAGGCGACCGCCAAGCAGGTGATTGACCAAGGGATGAAGGTGCGGATGGTTCGAAGGCAGAAACTCTGAGTGCCAGGATCATTCCTCAAAGCCAGGTTTCGTGGGTGCTTGCGGTTGGGTGATGTGCATGCACGCGGTAGGCTTTTTTGGTTTGTGTGGCTGTCTATTTGCATCAGACATCTCATGTACCTATGCCACCCATGCGACTGGTGCCAGGTGTTGGATGTTTTCGCAGATGGAAGCGAGGATGCCAAAACCCTCGCAGAAACAGCGCCTCACAAGGAGGTGGGAATCAATTGGAGGTTTGAATTACTGAGTTTTTTTGGCCAGCGGTTTGTACAACTCATCAGAGGGAAAGGCCGTGCTTTGTCGATGGATGTTGATGGAGTTGCAGCTCGGGAAACCTCATAAACCTAAAGACATGAATGTATATGAGTATCCTCACATTTGAAGAAGAGTCATGGGTCGACACACGAGCTAAATCAAGCTACAGCCAGCAGCTAGCTCGAGCAACTGCCAAACTGACTTTCTTCGGCTCAGCTGGGAAGAGTTGAATCAGAGTTGTCACAGAGGGAGCGAACACGAATCACTCAGGCCATGGGTGACTATCAGCAGATGGGCGATGCGCCTGCGGGGCCTTTGCCTCCGCCCTTTGCGCTCTCCAAGCTTGACAGTGACAAGGAAGGGCTGTTGAAGGGCCTCACGGATGCGGAGGTGGCCGAGCTGGTGAAGAAGTACGGCTTGAACGAAGTGCCTGAGGAGAAGGAACCTTTGTGGAAGATGTTCTTGAAACAGTTCACCGGACCCATGCAAATCATGATCGAATGTGCCGCCTTGTTGTGCTTTTTGATTCACAACTGGCCGGACTTCACCATCATCATGGTTTTGTTGATGACCAACGGCACCCTGGGATTCTTCGAAGAGAAGAGCGCACAAGCCTCCGTGGATGCTTTGAAGGCCGGCTTGGAGAAGAAGATGCCGGTCAAGCGCAATGGCAAGTTCGATAGCATCCCTGTGGTGCAGGTGCGCCATCCCCCATCACCCTCTATACAGTATCCATTGATAATTGGTTCTTCGGTCTCTTTTCTTCCAACACTCTATATTATTCGCTCACATGATGCCCTGCTTCACTCGCATTTTCGGAACCCCCAGGTGGTTTGGCTCATACCGATCTGACTCTTCTCGCCCAGGTGGTGCCCGGAGATGTGCTCTTCATGCGCGGCGGCGACATCGTGCCGGCGGACTGCTACTGGGTGGAAGGCGATCCCTGCCAGGTGGATGAAGCGGCCTTGACGGGCGAGTCCTTGCCGGTGAAGGTCCCGCGCAAGGATGATTCCGGGAAGCCCTTCTCGGGACGTCAGATGTGGTCCGGATCCATCCTGAAAGTGGGTGAGTGCCAAGCCGTGGTCAGCCACACCGGCGTGAACACCATGATTGGAGAGGCGGCCAAGGCCATTCAAGAGGCCAGTGGCAAGGACATCGGCGTTTTTGAGGGGAAGATTATTGAAGCCGCGCAAGTGTTGATTCTCATCACTGTTGTGGTGGTGACCTTCCTGTTCTACTTCATGTACGTCGTCCAGGGGGGTTGAGATCACGGAAGTCTTGGAGATGTCGCTGTCCTTGGTCATTGCTTCCGTGCCCGTGGCCCTCCCCATGGTGATGAAAGTGACTTTGTCCATTGGTGCCAAGGAAATGTCGGACGAAGGTGGCATTGTAACTCACTTGACTGCGTTGGAGGAGATTGCTTCAATGAAGGTCTTGTGTTCCGACAAGACGGGCACCCTCACCACGGCCCAGATGACGGTCTACTACGACGAGACAGCCAAGGCCTACAACGGCTTCTCTGCAGAGCAGGTCCTGGAGTTTGCCTCCCTGGCATCCAATGAAGCCAACAAGGATGACCCCATTGACTCTGCAGTGCTGCGTGCCTATGCCAAAAGCAAGGGGCTCACCAATGTGGATGATGCTGTGGATAAGAGAAAGCAATCCTACACTTTGGATCCCGAGGGCTTTATGGGCTTCAATCCGATCGTGAAGCGTACCTGCGCTGCGGTCACGGCAAAGGATGGCACAAAATGGTTCTGCACCAAAGGCATGGTGGACGTGATCTTGAAGACAAACCCCGATGATGAGGGAAAGCAGTGGACTGTGGACAACTATGAGGAAATGTCCAAGCAGGCGCACAAGGCTGATGCGGATTTGGGCGTCTCGGGCTTCAAGACCCTGGGCGTGGGAGTGTCCAAGAATGGTGGCCCTATGCAGTTCATCGGCATTTTGCCCATTATGGATCCCCCAAGACATGACACCAAGGAAACCATTCGAAAGATCAAAGAAGCACAGGTGGCAGTGAAGATGATTACCGGAGATCATCACAACATCGGAAAGGAGTTGGCCCGCCAGATCGATTTGGGCACGGATATCCGGACGCCTGATTGCTTGCAGCCACCCAGTGATGCCCGTGATCTCATCGTGATGCAAGCGGACGGCTTTGCGAAGGTGAAGCCACTGGACAAGCACGAGGTGGTGCAGGTGCTTCAAGACAAGGGCCTCGTGGTTGGCATGACAGGTGATGGTGTGAATGATGCTCCTGCTTTGGCCAAAGCACAAATTGGCATCGCCGTGCACGGTGCGACAGATGCGGCCAAGTCAGCTGGTGATATCGTTTTGACCAAGGACGGTCTCTCCCCCATCTACACCGCCATTCAGATCTCTCGGCGTATCTTCAAGCGCCTGAAATCCTATGTGATCTACCGCATTTGCATCACAGTGCAGGTGGTCTTCTTCTTGGCCGCCCTCGCTATCTTCTACAACCTCCGCTTCAAGGCGCTCTATATCATTCTGTTGGCCTTGTTCCACGACCTCCAGATCGTCACCATCGCCTACGACCATCAAGTGGCTGGCGCAAAGCCTGAGACACCCACAGTCTTGGGATTGCTCTTGCAGAGCTATTCCATGGGCATTCTGATGTTTATCCAGACGATGTTGCTGGTGTCCTACGGCCACCTCTTCCTCTCGGACGCCTACGGAGATGGCTACTTTGAAAGCATGAGCAGCAAGATGGCCGGGAATGAGATGAACAAGTACATGGAGACCACGATCTTTCTGCAGATCTCCAACTCCTCAGCAATTTTGATCTTCTCTGCTCGTACTGTTGGCTTTTTCTTCTCCACCATGCCGGCATGGCAGTTGACCTTTTCCACTGCCTTGGGACAGGTGCTGATCAACATTTGGTGCTTGTGGGCACCAACAGGGCTGGTGGATAAGTTGAGCCCTTCCGACGTGGCCAAGGTGTGGCTCTATGACATCGCCTGGTTGCTCTTCTTGGACCTGGTGAAGATGACAGCTGGGAGGCTTTGGGACAAGTACAAGCCTGCCACCATCGACCGCAACCCAGCCTTGCAGGCCAAGGATCGCAACAGCCGGCGCATGTCCAACAACTTGCGGCCCTCCTACATGTTGGCACAAGCGGGCGGAGCCGAGTTGGGAGCCAAGGTGGCGCAGCTTCCCGAGGGTCAGCGCAACAGCGTGCGGATGTCCAGGACCTTCAAAAAATGAAGTCCCGCACATGGCGGGAAAGGTGCTCTCATCCTTTGTTCTTCTCCTGAAGCACTTTCTTTTCTTCGCCATTTGAGCGCGCATCGATTGTACAGGACCTTGATAAGGACCTATTTTTCATAGTGATTTCATGAGGTTAGACGCCTCCGCGAGCTACACAGCTAATCTTCTAAGTGGGGCACTTCATTTGGTTCATGATGATCCATATAACATAGCTTCATTTGGTTCAAGAAGATTTAGATGATCCCATTTTTTGATCCAAGGACTGGTATGAATGGTGTTTCCCTCAATTATCTACGCGATTGCCCCATTGTTTCTTTAGTTCCTCGTGAGTCTCGAAACCCTTTGTGTCTTGGCCATTTGCGCGAAAGACCGCCGTATGCATCTATGAGCCCATGATCATCTATGCATGCATCTTCCCACGCCACCCGCCACGGGTGGGAAGTCACGATCAGACCCCTCTGAACGGATCTCAAATTACCATTGTCAGAATATGTAATTATTCAGATCGAGTGGTGATCCATCGGTTCAAGCCATCATTCATTCTTTCATTTAACCTTTTGAGAGGGCACCACCACCTCTCCTTTTGCGCTGTTACGCCAGGCGGAGCTTCATTCCAGTGAGGCGCCCGAGCTCCAGTGAGGCGCTCCACTGCCATCGCCGCCATGAGCAGCGACCAAAAGCACGGCACCGCGCGAGGCACCGCGGCGAGGCGTGAGGTGAGTCCCGTAACCAAGTTATCACAGAAGTCACAGGGATTGGCAACGAAGATGTTTGTGACAGTGCCACATTTGCGCGATTGATTGGGATGGCGACACTGGCCCGTTTGGGATGGCTTGCGTTCTTTGTATAGCTGGATCTCCCAACTGTGCCAAATGTTGGCCTTTTCATCTCCAAAAAACCGCCCAAAGGCATACATTTTGCATCTAGTTGGACGATCCAGGTACAGGCACCCACGTGCTCAAATGATGCTTATAGAGCATGATTGAGCTGATGGTCCCATCCGATATGATTCCAGATGAGCGTCCCTGCAGTTCGAGTTCACCTCGCGTCCCGCAGACCCGTTTTTGGGCTCCAACTCCCATCCGCGGACCTCCGTGGGCGGCGGCGCTGGGCGTGGCGGACGTGGGGAGGCTCTCGGTGGGTTGGACGTGGGAACCGGAGGCGGAGGGGTCTTAACCTGACGCCGGGTGCCAGGTTGGGCGGTGATTTTCCTGCAGATTTGAAGGATTCCAAGGCATTCCACGGCAACATGAGAGGACATTCTGAAGTTCCGATGTGGAAGTTGGGTGGGTCATCATAGGTGATAGGTCGTCATAGGTCATGTCAAATTACGTCATTAGTCATTTGTCACCATCCATGTTCTTCTTGATGTTGTCGCAGCCCTTGCAGCTGAGGCGAGGCCCCCTTTGGTGGACATGTTGGATGCTCAGCCGACAGCCATCATCAGCCTCACCTGACCTTGTCCTGCTTGTGGATGTTTCATTTTTCAAGTACAGATGTGCAGAGTTTCCGAGTTCTGATGCTGATTCCTACTGATTCACACGGACTCAGATGCCCTCGGGTGGCAGAACCGGCTGGACGTGGATCCCCCCTGTTTGTAGGGGAGAGCCCGTCTTCCAAAGGGCCAAGGCAGTCTACTTTCTGTGTTTCTCTGGAGAGCCATGGTCACGTGGCAACCTGTTGCGGCTCATTTTGGCTCGTCTTGAGTCGCTTCAGGTGCGATTGCCTTGATGAGGACGCGGCCGAGGAAGGAAGACCTTTGACTTGGACCTATGTCGGTCAAGGCGCCGCCGAAAAAACGCCGCCTGGGCCTTTCTACCTCCGGCACGGGCCACCGCCAGGGCGCGCTCAGAGTCTTTATTGGTGGGTGAACCTGGGGTTGGGTTCATCAGCTTTGTCTTTGGATGGGGAAACTTGATTCGACGTCAGGATCATGATATCAGCTCCCTTTTAAAGAACGCGAGGATCATTTCCGGAAGTGCAGTGGTGATTCCGTTGAGCCTTCGGACCTGCAGGTAGCCCAGGTCGCCCGGTCCCCAGGGCATACCACGTCCCAAGGTCTTCCACACCAAGGTCCCCAGGTCGCCACGTCCAGGTAGAGGCGATTGGGCGGAAAACAAGCAATTGGAATTTGCCTGGGTCCTCAGTCCTCAGTGACTAAAAACGAAGGCCTTCACAAAGCCACCAAGTGCTTCTCTTCTTGGCACAGCCAAGAAGCAAGTCAGTGAGACCATGAGACCTACTATGGTAGCTATTACTGTATGCTGTATTCTATTCTATGAAAATTATGATTCTATGACATGTGACATGACACAGGGTAGACTACTGTATATACGTCCAATGGTAGTGTTTGACCTTTTGTTTGGGCCCAGAGGAGAGGCAAAAGATGCTTGACTTGTCCTCAGCTTCAGTAGTTGTCGTGAAAGTATAATTAACGTTTTTTCTACCCCCCGCTCACTAACATGGAAGTGGAACAAGAAGGTTCCGTGGAAGCCTCTTGAACTTACACTTTAAGAACGGGGGCTCCTCGTCTTCGCTTCTTGAAGTTGGAGTGAAGCTCCTTCGGCCACATGGGATGCGGCCTACCCCGCTGGGTCGCGTCGCTTCGAAAAAGACCGCCCCAGGTGGGTCACGGCAAAGGAGCCTTCGTGGCCGACCGAGAGAAGAAGCCCGCTGGATGCTGCAGGCCGACCTTCGTGTGCCACGAACTCGACAACTTCACACGCTGCCTTCAGGGAATCGCATGCATGCTTCGTTGCAGATACCCAAAAAAGATAGCCACAAATGGCCAGGATGGCTGAGATTGCGGTAGGCTTTGACCCCACTCTTGACTCCCAAAAAAAGATCAAGCAGCAAGCAAGTCAGTGTGATGTCCTCCGAAACAAATGCCCAACTTGCAGGGCGAGTCTTCAGATTGCTTGCTGTATGACTTTGCTGCTCTTGGTCGCAGCCTCGTTCAAGCGCGACCGTCACCCATTCGCCAGTGAAACCATAAATCTTAAAACGAATGATTATTTATTGCATTCATTTTCAATTGTGTGGGGTGACCTGCCCGGAAAAACAACCATTGGCCTTCTTTCGATATACTGTATATATACTAAGGGAACCAACTCAGTCGAGGTTTGGACGAACTCAACGACGACATGGCGTTGAGTTTGTGATCAACCTCCTTACCAGCCCAGACACTCCATGTATGACATATTTACATACATTGGGGTGCTTTCGGGGGTCAATGTAGGTGAATATTCCATACATGGAGCATCTGGGAAACTGAAGTACACGTGTTGCACCGAACTGTTGCCGAACTCCTCAAGGACCCATCGCCCGAGCCGGTGCCAACTCGTTGCACCGGACGAATTCATTCGCGGTCTACCGTCCGCCGCGGCGTCGGCTGGGCCCAGCCGTACGATCACCGAGTCGATGCCGCTGTTTGATGCTTTTTGGATGATCGAGAGAGAGAGAGAGAGCAAACATGAGCAAACCACCATCATCCATGCTTGCCTTGACATCCATAAACCATAGAGTAGACTCCTTTTGAACGAAACCTTTGGGCAAGGTCGTCCTTTCCAAGCCAGCTAATTATTTAAATGTTTAAGGTGTGACGGTTGTTTGACCGGCATAAAGATGTGATAGAAGTTTGTTCTTTTATTTTGTTTCCGCCCATCAACCAAGGTGCCGCTGATTGTTTGGGTCGTATTCTTCAGGCTGTGTTGGGGGGCGGACAGGTTGAATACATGAGTCAAGCAGGAGCCTGTACAGGACAACATGATGATAGATGCATGATGTAAGGATTCTTGCATGAATTTGCAATGGTACGTTTGTGTCTCTTGGCAATCTGTTTGTTTTCCTCTCGGCTCCAACGGTGTGGAACAAGAATTCCGGACTTTGGGTGCTAGACTGTGGCATCGATGTTGAGATGCCAGGACTGAAGCTTACATGTCGGTCTTGAATGTGGGCCATGATCAAGAGGTCCAGCCACAAGTGCGCGGCACCCCAGACCTTGGCTTGGAAAGAGACCGGAGTGATTCCCTCCGGGGGAAGGCGCAGAAACGCCTCCAACGTCAGAATGACGTTGCCTGAGTTTCTGGTTGCTTTGAGTTGCTTTGTGCGTTTTTCATCGTTCAAAGTCCCTGAATGACTTCCTGGTTCGACGACGGCGACGGTCGGCAGGTGGAGCTGCTCATTGCCCAGAAGCGGCGCGCCGGCGGCAGGAGCGGGTGAAGGGGTGAAGGGGTGGTGCTTTCTCCCCCGGTTTTAGACGTGTATGCTGATGAAGTGGGATGTCTTGGCAGAACTTGAAGGGGAATTCTCGATCTGATGCAATGCCCCCTGTCCAGATTCTCAAGTTCCTGCACCAGATGAATGGGGTAGAATTGATATACTAGTATGATCTAGTATGATTTTATATTATGACTATATTTTACTTTGGTGCCCACGGCTGCGGCCAACTTCCCGGCAGCTCCAAGTCTGTTCGAGATGTCTGGTGATGTCGAGAACTTGGTATAGAACTCTCTCGTAGTTGGAAGCCTCTTGAGAAGGCGGGCCCTTCTCTTCTCGTCGAAAGGGAGGGGTTCCTTTGATTGGAGATGATGCCTGCAGATGCCTCCAACTTGCCAAGGAGTCGAGGGATATCCAGTTGGGGAGACACCGCACTTGGGAGAGACACCTTTGCCGTTTTTTTGCGCGCTTTCGTCGTGTTTGGGCCAGATTTTGTTCAGGCGCTGCGATCATCCAAGAAGCGTCACTGGGCGAAGATGATCCGTAGAGGGTTGGGGGAGGGGTGGATGGGTTTCCGTTGAGTACACTAGAAGTGAGATTTATGGAAACCTGTACTCTTAAAATGGTGGCACTTAATTGGATTTTATTAAATGCGTTTAGCCTGTTTAGCAGTAGCAGCAAAGCAACGTCATTTGATGCCCTTCCCCTTCTTCGGCTTCCTGCTCGAGTGATGGATCCGACATGATCTGACCATCCGAAGGTCAAACACCAAGCATACC